GTTTAGTTTGTTTTCCTTAACACCCGTTGGGGAATCCAGGCTTAACAATATCTATCTTCATGTATTGGTAGTTCAAGTTCACCCTGTTTGTTCCCCAGACTTTGTGCATTTGCATATAGGCACTTGAGATCTTTATGTCTGACGCTGTGTTTACTGTCTACATCAGCTGTGTTGTGCCTGCCTGCCCCTACTTTCTTGCCACCTGTTTGATTAATGCACATGGTATGGCACTCACTATTAAATGCTTGGTTTTGGTTGACTGCAAGGTTGATAATCTTACCTGCACAAACATCTATTTTACATGCACTGGTATCCTTATTAATTTTAGGTTGCTAGGGACAGAAATATTCTGTAATTAATTCTCTTTTCCTGCTGTTCGGTTTAAATGTTTATCCAGCAAATCTGTGAATTTAATGCCAAGTAAATCAGTCCCTTTCTTTGATGGATGCAAATCATCTCTTTTGTACAGTTTTTCATTGGACCATCTGCAGATATCATGACTAATAAAACCAAAGCCTTCCCTTTTACACCACTCCTTCAGCCACACATTAAACTCCGCTACATGCTGGCCCTTCCCTTTTTGTTCCTTGCATACTGGTAGAACCTCTGAAAAGATAAGCCTACAGCCCATACTACTAAGTTCATACCCCAAGCTCTGGAAGTCTTTATGAACAGAAAGTACATCCTTCTGGGACAGATCATTTGTACCAAGATGGAAGAATAATAGCATCAACATCACAGTCCTTACTGGCATTCTTAACTATCTTAAGAATACGCCTCTTGTCTCTGCTGGCAGTAGCACCTGGCAGACACCTGACCTCTTTCAAAACCTCCGTATCCTTTCCTAAATCTTCCTTTAATTCTTCCATTTTTAGCATTTTAACATTTCATTCCAATAATCAGATCTCTGCCACTTTAAATATAATTATTAGTCCTGTTTTCTGAATATTCTTTTCAGGATTGCATTTAAAGTAAAATGGATTGTTCTCACCCAGTTCCAGTCACTGTCACTAATTCTGCTCCTGCAATCTTCTTAGTTATAAAGCTGTCTTTGGCTATGTGGCGGCCATCTTGGCTGCCTCTTCTCCACAATGTGGCATAGAAAGCAATAGCCTTGGGGCTTTACAGGGGAATTGCATTCTCCCCTGGAACCTCACAAGGCAACTCTCCTTTGCTTCACCACTCCCCCAGGGTGGCTTTGTCTTTCACAAACTCAAAGAAGCCAGCACAGAGACAGAGAGCTCCATTCCCTTGCTACTGGTGTCATTGTGATGTCACTTCCTGTTTCCCAAACAAGAAAGATTCATAGTCATGAAGTAAGTTTTGTGCATTATTTATATCTCAGCCTAATGTTCCCTTCATTTTTTTGTGGAGAGATGATAAGGATTCCACAATAAAATTCATCACTATACACAATAGAATTTAACTAAGTTTATCAATAAAAGATATAATTCTTCAAAATTGAAAAATTACTTTGAGAGCTACATAATGATCTACTATGTATTCAATTATCAATTGAATTATTCAATTATAACTGGTTAATTGACTGTTGACATCAGTTCTCATCATTGAAAATTTAAACCCATTGATTTAAATTAATGAACCACATACAGACCAAATTAAGAATGAGGTGTATTAAGTTTCTCAAGTATATGCAAATGTTTATGAAAGCCACCATTTTCTTTTTTTTCTCAGCAAAAACAGTTTCATTAATATAATTAAATTCCTGATAGTTTGTTCCTTCTGTCTTCCTCATACAAAATTTCAGTCCTGTTACCTCTTTCCTGGCTGCTTTATTGCCCATGGCATCTATTTTATTAGCCGCTTTCAGTGTAAGTAGCCTAGCCTGTTCAATAGCAATGCGGCACTCAGCAATCCAGTGAGCAACAACTTCCTATAGGAAAATAAGGCAAAAGCAAATTAGAAAACGCAGTTTAAAAACAAAACAAAACTACACACAGTGCTCAGGTTTAAAAAATGATCTTACTTTGCTACCCTGTATCTCTTGTTATTAGCTTCATGTCCATCTTCAAATTTCAAAAAGAGTTTTTATAATACAACACTATATAATTAGGTTGTGAACTCACATGATGATAGAGTTTCTTCCCAAATGTGACCCTTTGGGCTGATCGCTCACACAGGATCCGCAGAGCAGTTTCACCTGCTCCAATTGATCTCATACAGTGATGAATACGGCCCGGTCCAAGTCGTCCTTGAGCTATTTCAAATCCTCTTCCCTCTCCTTTGTTACAAAAATAAAAAGGCAGTTCTTTTCTCTTGGGGGGAAATACATAATTATTTGCTACATTGGAATGCAAAAGTTCTGACTTATAATAACTTTCTAGGGTCTTAGACAGAACATTTGGATAGTCTAAAACACTTTTCTTGATAAGACTTTTCAGAAGTGATTGCCATTGTTTCCTTTCTAGGTATCAGAGAGTGACTGGCACAAGATCAATGAACTGGCATTGTGCTTAAGGTGCATTAGAACTCCTGGTCTCTCAGTTTCTAGCCTATCTTAACACTATACCAAATTGGCTCTCACGTGTATCATACCATTGTGTAAATGTCAAAAAGCCATGGCAAAGCTGGTTCCTCCCAGCTCAGGTAATTCAACCAACAATGGTTTGTTGACAATCCAGTAACTATCAGAAGAAGAAATTCAAGACTCACCCAGTATCAGATGAGTGGCAGGGACTCGAACATCATTAAAATGTATTTCAAAATGTCCACCATGAAAATAATCTATAAAATTATGAACACAATCAAGTATCATTTGAGGAAAACTGCCAGCAGTGTTATTTAAAAAAAAAATCTAATACAGTTAACAGTAAGTCATTCTCTCTTTGGAGAACTAAAACTAAAATAATATAGCAAATATTAAATGAATAATATCAAATGAATGCAGGAATATAATATAATATTTCTGCACAGTTTAAAGTATCTGAAACTTTTTCTGTCAAGTCAACCAACCAACCTATCTGGCAACAGAATATGTAATGCATATAAAAAAGCAAATTTGTTTACACCACCATGGCTGCTGTCTTTCCTCTTTTTTTTAACCATCTCTTGCAAATACCCATGTTCTCCCTCTCACTTCAAACTGAGCAAAAAAACCCCACTGCATTAACCTTACAACAGACTTCCCATCAGAACTTCAGGAAACCCACTGCATCCCACATATTTTTCTCACTGCAGCTCAGATTGATTTTTCTGATATAGATGGTACAAATACAGTTCCATGCATACACCCAGCCTACATAGAAGTCTTTATATCCCCCCTCCAATCTCCTATTTCCTCCTACAGCTCAGAAATCAGACAAATATTCAGATGCAACTTTAAGCATTCAAAGTACAAGCAACTGACAATTCCACTTACCAAAATACCCAAAGACTGAAAGAGGCCTTATAAGTTTCACTCCAGGTGTATCCATTGGCACAATAATCATACTATGCTGTTTATATCTAATTGAAACAAAAGTAATAAGTGATATTGAATACTGAATATAACAGTAACATAATACACGCTTTGGATTAACAATGATTTCTAAATATTTATCAGTTTTCCTACTTGCACAACACAGCACTGATATGCTACCTAGTTTGGGTAATGAAACGTCTGCAAGAAAACAAGCAGGCTCAGAGAGCACCAAGGACCCCTCATGTCAACCTTAAGCTACAAATATTTTCCTTTAATAATTATGATTATTAGAGCAGCAACCTCGAAGTTATTGACAGTATCTTAGCAGCTGGGTAGAAGTGTGATAAAAAATTACTCCACAGTATATTATACCAAAAATAAATGTTGATTCTTGTTCCGTACATATTTCAAACACAAATTGAACATTTCTTCTTACCTGGATGCTGAAGTAGTTTTATCTTTGCCCATTACAATAGCAAACTTGCAGTTGGGATTTCCAGCTCCTAAAAAATGAACACTAAATGAATTTCTTGGTTGAAACCTTTATCATTGGGTTAAGAATCTACAATATTTTTAACTTTTCAGAGAAGAAAATACAGTTACAATGATCAACAGATCTTGCTTTCTAATAAATTTAAAAGCAACAGTTAAAGAGAACATTGGAACATTGTGTGAAAACCTGGAAAACTACTTCCAAATGGGACAAATAATACTAGCTATATGTAGAAAAAGCTTTATGCTGATATAAGATCATGTTTTACACTAAGGCAGAAATCCAAAGATTTAGCTGATCATCCCTGATTCACAAACAGACCAATGTTACTAGCTTTTCTAATGGTTCTGCACTGTGCCACTAATATAGATGAAAAAAAACATACCCTAAAAAGACAAATTTGAATAATAATTTATTGTGTACATTCAGACATGAGCTAGTGTCAGATCCGTGTATCTGCCATTCTTCATGGAAGAAGAAGGGGGGAGGAAAGTTGGTATATGAAATCCTTTGGATGTAACTTGAATAAATTAAATCTTATATTAAATTTGTATAACCTACATATGGGGAAAATGGAGGGACGGAAACCAGATGTCCCGGAAGCCTGTCACCTCTGGAAGAGACAGCCTGGGGATGAAGAGATCATAAAAATTCCAACAGGGAGATGTGTCCTAGGAAACTCTAAAAAAGATTGTTCTCAAAAGAGGGGAGGGGGAATTAACATGTTGGCTCTTTGGATTACAAAATACACATCAAGATACGGGGAGAGGTTTTAATCTATCACTGCATGCCTGAGGGATGTTAGACGCTGCTTTTAATCCCTACGTGAATTGTCTCATCTCAATAAAGGATTCCTTTTGATATGTCTAGTTTCAGAAGTTCATTCTTGTTGATTGAATGGGAAAAGTTCGGTAGCCTGACATAAAACAGCGTCTGCAATAGAGGTCAGCATGGAGAGGAATTAAAAAAAAAAAACCTTCACTCTACCAAGGGGACCCTGCAAAAGAGGAAAAATGTCTGAATACAGCAAGGAGCAAGAGGAAGCCAAATGCTGGGGAGAAACGTCGACAGTTACCCAGTCAGATACTGACTCGGTGTATCCCATCGAAGATAGCAAAGCTGCCTCTGAAACCTCCACAAAGCCCCGGTGGTCTATAGGCATAGGAAAGAGAGACAGCTGGGACGGAAGAACCGGGGGATTATCCCTTACCTGGGATAATCGTAAACCCGGATGGAAATTGGACCTGGAGGCCCTATCAGATCAGGAAGAGTGGGGCGAGGAGCCACCGGCTGATGATCAATTGAGATGGTACATAAATCGCCTCGTGAGGGAAGCCCTGGAGAACCTTGAAGTGAGGGATGCACCAGGACGCCAACATAGGAGAGCAAGAGAACCAGAAAATTAGAGAACCCGAGCCCCCACCCTGGACCTAGCTGAGAATGATCGGGCAGTGGGACAAGCTGAAGAACCAGCAGTCATACCAGGTACCCAACCCTTTACCACCCCAAGACAGGGGATTAACCCTGGCCAACCCCGAGACATACAGCTGCAGAGGAAGGTCCCACCCCAGGGGTAAAATTCGATGGGGACCCGCAGAAACTGGGATTTTTCCTGGCGCATGTCCTCACCTACATGCAAGAATATGGGCGGAATTTCCCAACCCAGGGGTCACTAGTACGAGTTGTCACCCTGGCCCTAGAAGGGGCAGCAGTCAGATGGATGGTGACATTCCACAACGTAAATGCCCCAGAATTGAGGGATCTCGATCGGTTCATGCCGGCCCTACGCCACCACTTCAAAGACCCCCTAGCCGATAGAAAAGCCCGCGACAGCATCAGTGTTGTAAACCAAGGCTGTTGTCTGGTAGCTGAATACACCGAGGAATTCCGTGACTTGGCCAGCCGAGTCGACTGGCCAGAGGATATCCTAGTCTGTTGGTTCAAAGATGGACTCAATAACAATCTATATGCTGCCTGCCTGGCCCGTGGGGCCACAAATCTCCTGCATGAATGATACCTGATGGCAGAGGAGGCAGAGATAGACATGACTTGTAACCGGTACTGCAGTGGCAAGATTTGGAAAAGGTCCCTACCTCTGGGGAAATGGGAAATTTTCAAACCCCAAATTGTCATGACTTCAAGAACGTCTGGTTGTTTTAAGTGTGGAGAGGAGGGACACCACGCAGCAGAATGCCATTCGAAAACCCCTGCCATAAAACCAGACCACCCATCGGGGGAAAACCTGGAACACCCAGCCCTCGAGGAAAGGAGACTGGCCTGAGAAGCCGAGAAACTGTGTGAGTCCAATCCCCCCCCAACCCAGAGGACAAAACCCCAACACTCCAAGGAAACCTGAGCCAGTCCGAAACTATCAGGAAGATGACCCACTGGTAAGCGACCCAACTGAATCAATCACTCTACCTCTAAGACTGTTTATTCTTAACCGAGGGAAGGGAAGGGAAGTTGCAGCGCTACTGGATTCGGGGGCACCCGATACCTAATCAACCCCTCCCTATTTGATAAATTGGGATCCAACTAAAAAGATTGGAGAACCCCATCACTTTTTGCCAATTAGATGGAACGATAATGGGGGGGAGAGCCAGCCAATTTTGTCACAGAACCACTGAAGATAAGATGAGGGAATCATAGTGAGATGCTCACATTCACTGTAGCTCCAGGGATGGAAGGACCACTAATCCTAGGTCTCACATGGCTGCAGAAATGGAACCCAAAAATAAATTGGAGGAGAGGAACCGTACAATTTCAGAGAGACGTAGCTTTTGCAAATAGCTCAGAGGAAAGGATAAAGAAAGGAACAGAGAACAAAGGATTAGCCTTGACTGGATGGTCAGCTGAACCCATTAACATCCTCAATGAGTACCAGGATTTAGCCCAAGCATTTAGTGATGAAGCTTCAGGTGAACTCCCACTCCATTGCGCCACAGACTGCGCTATCAAAATCCTACCAGGGGCTAAACTTTCAAAACCGCAAATATACTGCATGTCTCCCAGAGAACTAAAAGAACTCAGAGCATTTATCAACAAAAATCTAAAAAGGAGGTTCATTGAACCCACCCGACCAAAAATAGCTGCCCCAGTATTATTCCACGAAAAGAAAGCCATCTCCTTATGTCTGTGTGTGAATTACCAAAAATTAAACGCAATTTGCATGGAGAATATGTATCCACTTCCTCTCATGAAGGACATGTTAGCTCACCTCTCGAAAGGAAAAAAAATTTCTACGTTAGACCTACGAGAGGCATATTACCGCATCAGAATAAGGGAAGGGGATGAGTGGAAGACGGCTTTTAACACCCCACTAGGATGCTACCAATTTAAAATGCTCCCTTTTGGATTACAAGGATCGCCTGCCATGCTTATGCAATTGATTAATGAAACCCTTCATGAATTTCTATATAAAGGGGTTCTAGTTTATCTTGATGATATTTTAATCTACACGGAAATGGAAGAGGAACACATTAAATTACTCCGAGCAGTCCTCACAAAACTCTTAAATGCCAAACTATATGCAAAACTCTTCAAATGCAAATTCCACCAAGAAAAAATTGACTACTTGGGATATAGAATATCCAATGGGGGTATAGAGATGGACCCACAAAAAGTAAACACTGTTATCGAGTGGGAACCACCTTGTACCTGCAAGCAACTGCAAAGCTTCTTGGGGTTTGCAAACTTTTAATGCCAGTTCATCCCAGCTTTTGCAAATATTGCCCTCCCTATCACAAACTCATTAAAAATGAGAGGGGGGAGAAACCCAAACCAAGGCAACCCCTTATCTGGACAATGGAATGCCAAGCGGCATTCAAAAAACTCAAACATCTAATCTCAGCAGAACCGGTTCTTAAGCATCCAGACCCTGAACAACCTTTTGTCATCCAAGCAGACGCTAGTGATGCTGCAGTTGGAGCAGTCCTCCAAAAGAATGGACATTGACAATTACAACCATGCGCTTATACATCCAAGAAACTGATGGAAACAGAGCAAAGATGGGCCATATGGGAGAAAGAGGCATATGCTGTGCGATGGGCACTTCTCACATGGAGACATTTCCTAGAAGGAAACCAAATCCCCTTTGAAGTATGGACTGATCACAAAAATCTGGAAGCCCTGAGAAATCCACGGAAACTCTCCGAAAAACAAGCAAGGTGGGCTCAATATTTTAAACAGTTTAATTTCACGCTCAAACATTTTCCTGGGAGGAAGAATTTCTTAGCAGATGCACTGTCCAGAAAACCCTAATACAACAGCAGAAAGATTGAGGTTATAAAACCAATGATCCAACCGACCCAACTTGCACCCAAAGTAATCACTTGGGGACAAGAGAAAAAAAAAACTACTGACTGACAATGCAACGACTTCAGTATTTCAGGAGGCACTACTTAAGGACGACTGGCTCCAGGCTAACAAAAACACTTGCGTAATCGAAGATGGACTAGCCTGGGTGGAGAACAAACTTTATGTCCCTGCCAGCCAGAGGATGGAATGCATGAAAACACTGCCACGACTCAAAAACAGCGGGACACTTTGAGTTTGTAAAAAACCTGCACCTCATCAAAAGACAATTTTGGTGACCATCTCTCAAAAACGACATGGAAAACTATGTGACGAGCTGCCCCACCTGTGCTGCTACAAAGAGAAGACAAGGAAAATCTCCTGGACTTTTACAGACAGTAGCAGACCCTTCTGCACCCTGGAAAGAGATCTCTATGGACTTTATAGTGGAGCTTCCCGAAAGTGCAGGAAATACTGTCTTTGGGTTGTAACTGATCTTTTTTCAACACAGGTTCATTTTGTACCATGCCAAAAGATCCCAACAGCCAAGGCCTTGGCAAAGATGTTTTTAATACACATTTATCGCCTTCATGGAGCTCCCCAATGCATTATCTCAGATGGGGTGTACAATTCACATCCACATTTTGCCGGGCATTTTTAAACCTATTAGGCTCCACCCAGGGGTTGTCATCAAATCAACCCAGACTAACGGTGGAT